GGCAGCCCGGCGGCTGGGGCCCGCGAACCTCGAAGACCGGACCCGGCTCCCTGGCTTTCTCTCCTCTCTCCTCCGAAAGCTCGGCCCAATGCTCAGCCAGCGAAGGTGTGGGGATCGGTTTCGGCCTCTGTTTCTGCCTCACGAGCTCTGCTCCTCGAGCCCAGCTGACTGCTGCTTGACGCGGTGGCGCCTCGGAACATTCCTTGTCTCCGCGTTGTCCCGGACGTCCAGGTTGTCAGCTAGCACCGGGCGGTCGTCGAGCCTCGGAGCAAGGGTAAGCTCGATGACACAGAGCTGTACAGTCACCAAGATATCCACGCAGCGGAGGTCTGCGTAGAGCCTTCAAAGGCTGACACAAGAAGTCTCGTGTCAGATAATGTATTTTCCACAAGAGGCAATGGAAGTCAGTGCCGTGCAGCTCAATCCGGTTTGGGCGACTGGAACTTGAGGCGCAGTGTCCATCTTTAAACCCATCCATCCGTGTCTGACTCTGTGCTCGACTGGCTAAACTGATGCCCGGAACAAAACATCCGTCTCATGGCCTTCCTGTGACGAATAGCGCGGCATGCTGGCCTGACGCAGTGAGGAGTGCGCATCTCAAGGAGCACCACACACTATCCTTGTTTCCAAGCATGCAGCCCGGGCAGGTTGCCCACACAAGCGACAGACAAGGCCCCATTGCCTTGGCCGTGGACAGCCAACGACGTCTGGATGCGAGCCTCAATCACGTCAGGGTCCATGATGGTATCATAAAAAGGCAGGACCCCACTCTCTTCTGAAGGACTCGTGGAAAGGTTTCCCCCCACCCTTTGCGGGGTTGGAGAAAAGGAGAGAGCTGTAGACACGTGGTTGCCTGCTTGCTTGCTTGCGGCATGCAGACCCACTCTTCTTCATCAGGGCTTGAGGGGCTTGCGAGACCCCGGCCACCAGGGGGGCCCCTTGTGTTGCGGGTCTGTGGAGGAATGTGAAAGCTCGAATGATGTCCTGCCGGGTTTGTCATTAAGTCAACAATGAGGAATCCCAGAGGTTGTCATTCATGCAGGACACATGTTCGAATTGGAACCGGGTTCTTCCTGAGTTTACTGGAGGCTACATAACTGTAGGACAACATGTTTTAGTTCAAGGACCGGTCCCCACATTTTTGGAGCATGTAACCGTGTAACCTGATAAGCCGGTCAATAGGCATTGTGCTCTCTCGGAAATGTCGCTAGGATTTTGTGAAACTTTGCCACTTTGCATTACGAGCGTGTTGGTCAAGGTTTGGTGGCGACTATTCTCGCGACATGCCTGCTGGGGCACGGCAGAATAAGACTTACCCGGCTTAACCACCGAAAGCACCCTGACTGGTTCCCCGACCTGTCATCTTTCCTGCAGACGCTGCCTAGTTTGCACATCCACAGTACACCGGGACCACTTCATTGCTTTACAGCAAAAAGATAAGAACAAACTACCCATATATTGTAAAGGAAAGCCTGATCATCACGGTGGTCCCTGCTTTGTTTACAGCCTAATCATGGCAAGGATTATGTCATGCTTTACGGCATTAGGGCTACAACCACAATTCAGACAGTTTGGACGGTCCATCTATCTCTTTCTTTCTCTTTGCAGAAGTCCATGTTGCCGGCCTCGTGCTCGCTGCACGTTTTGGCACGCTGAACGCCATGGGAAAGGGGGGTCATGGCACAGCGGCACAGCTGGGAGATTCTAGGATGCGTGCATAACAAGGACTAGGAGTTTGTTGCACTCGCTTTGTCCACGCGTCATGACAGTGTCCTGTCACTTGCAGGTTGGGCATGCCAGCACACTATCTCACATCAACTTCTCGCTTTGGCTAGGTTGCGCACATAAGCGAGCCAACTCAAGCTGGTAAGATCACACAGCTAAAGGAACGGATGAAACAAACCAAGCTTCTCCGTAGATCGTAGCCTTGGAAGACAGAAATTCAGCACAAGGTTCTCAGAGAAAGCTAGGCAGGGCAGAGAGTGAGCGAGCGAGTGAGTGACTGAGTAAGTGACTGAGCGAGTGAGAGTGAGAGCGAGAGTGGGGGTGAGAGTGAGAGAAAGCAAGGCCCAAGCTCCATCGCCAACACCGATCGTCAAAATGTGGCCACAGAAGCATGCCTCGGCCAAGCTGCCCCATGCCGAGCCAGACAAACACCCGAAGTAGAAGCCACGAGAAGACCCGAAGGTTGTTCACTGCGAGAATGAGATAGATGCCCTAGCAATGACTTGAGAAAGACGCACTTGTCGCAAGAGTTACTGTACCTCACCCATTACATGCAAAGCTTCAGGTTGAAACGACCACATGCTGCACAAGAAAAGCTATCCTCAAACTTTGGACTCCTGGCAACTGCCAAGATGCATTTGTATCCGTCATGCGCCAGCCGTCCGGAGCAAACCTCAGAGGAAGCCGAGCAGACGTGCGACAAAGCTTCTTGAGCAAGGATCATGTTGTCACCATACACAACCAACAGACGGCCGCACGGGTGGCAGCATCTGGAGACACCGTGGCAATACCCAAAAATCACTCGTATCATACATGGGCGCCGCACGACAATCTCGAAAGTGCCAGACTCCCCAAATCCTGCAAAAAGGAACATGGGGCGGCTCCCTGATCCCGAGATGCAGGGTGACTATGTACAGGAAGCCTGGAAGTCTCAACTTGGGTAGGGTCTCTCGCAAGTCACAGCGTGGAACTTAAACTTTGTATTAATATTGCTCATGTCATCTACTTGCAGAAGGCCTTCCCAAAAGATCGCTGAATGCAGTTCTGACAGTGAGAGGAAAGCCAACATGAGGGGGAGAATAAGGATGAGAGTGGGGGTCGGAATGAGCGTGAGAGTGAGGATCAGAGTGAGCGTGAGATTGAGAGTCAGGATGCTGCAACTTCTACACAATGACAATCTGCATCTGCCCGGCAAGCCAAAACAGCATCTTGCGTCTTCCTAGTGTTGGTTTCCGGTGGCATCAGAAGCTGCACGGGTGTGGGCAGGAATTTGGAGCCTGCGGAAGCTTCCTTGTCTTCCAAAAGCGGTCACATGCAGCATTCTCTTAAGAAAGTTCTCGCTCAGCTTGCTCACCTTGTCTTGATCGACCCGGGCTTGGTTACAATTTTCATCTGGCAGGGGAAGTACAGTAACCGCGTGCTTTCTGCATGAAGTCTGCCCGGGAACGATGCTCACGCAGATCTGTGCAGCCTCTCAGCCCCGACCAAAGGCCTCGGAGAGAAGGAACTTGGAGAGCTTGGATGAGCCAGCCGCTGCCTCCTGCATCAACCGTGCACAGCAGCTCTCTTTGTCTTCGCTTTAGCAGGGACAGTCCTGAAACTCTCGAAGACGTGGCTGGACAGGGCGAGCACCTGCACTTAACGCTGATGCGTGCAGGCCTTTTTCAGTCACGGAACACCAAGTGAAACTTGAACGCAAGCGTCCTAACTCTGCTCAGCACGGTTGGAAAAAGCGCTTGCTTCAGCACCGGCTGCGGGAACCTGGAACGGCGCCATCTTCCCGCAGCTCGCCATGCCGCGCTGCTTGCGCCAAGCATTTGAGGACTTCCTCCAAAGCTTCGCCCCGCTGTTCACTTGACAATCCGCTGGGCCAGCCCGACACCACGACCTGAGGATCTCACAGCGGCTATGCGATGCACAAGCCGTTTGGAGAGCTCCGGTAATGAATCCACGCCGAAAGGCATCAGGCTTCGACAGCCTGCCCCCTGACGTTTCTCCAACAAAAAATATCAGAAATCATTCGCAGCAAGCTGCTCGCCCCACCCGAGGCGACCGTGCGCAGCTCCCCAGCAGTGGGTCCCAGGCTTCCCAGGGATGACTGTCATGCACAGTCAAAGCAGGACACAGAGCTCACATGCAAAGGAGAAGTGCGACCGCGAACCCATCAAGTTATCTATGCCCTCGGCAACAGGAGCACACAGGTCCTGCGCGCCTCCGGTAGAGCCCCTTCTGTCGCTCGCGCTTGAAGCGCACCTCGCCGCATCCATGCCGATTGCAATCGTGCCTAAGCGCAGGGCACAGAGTATCCACTTCAAACTTCAAGCCTGTAAACCCTGCCCTTCATCAATGTACCTTCCCGTTCCTTTGGGCATGCCGCGGCACGTCCTCGCATCCACGAAGCCACCAGCAGCAGGCACCGCCGTTCGGGGCGAGCAAGTCGATCCCAAAAGCACCTAATGCTTGGAGGCCGTGGTTCTGAGCGGGTTTTTCCCTCCTACCTAGCAAGGACGAAGCCCGCATTGCAGGGAATCTTGGTTGAACAGCTGCACAAAGCTAAGTTTTCATAGCTAATTGACTATTCCGAACTGGGAGCGGCTTGATGACTGCCAGTCCAGAGCAAGTACGGTAGGCTCTAGCTTGTGTTTACAAGCGAGCTAACAGCAGCATCAGCGGCGGTGATCTTTTGCATCCTGAGCGGGTTTAGTTGGGTAGGGTCTCCCGAACCTGTCAAGCGTACGAGGAGAACTGCCGACCTGGATAGTCTGGAAACTTTGCAAGGACATCGAGTTGACTCTCCAGCTACGTTGCTATCTCGCGCAAGGCGCCAATTGAGACTGTACCAGACTACACGCCGCGAAGCTCAAGCTTCCGACTGCGTTTGGAGTCTACCCTGCCCAGCCCTGACGGAAATAGTGCGCAGGTACCGGGACAAGCCTTTAATCACAAGCCGGGCCAAATCGAAGCACTTAGCCCTGCATCCTGTCTGGCGGCCGATGCAGCCAGGAATGGCCAGGCACTGCGGCGGCGGTTGGCCATCCGCTGAGAATCCCAATTCACCGCTGTTCACTTGTCGTTTATGCTCTGCGGATCTCTGCCAGCGACCGGCCGGCCAACAGACCCTTGCTGGCTTGCTCACATTTCATGACTTATGGCAGCAGGTGACTGCATGTGCTTGTCTGATTCACGTCAAGGCCCTTTCAGCTGTGAACCTTGTCATGTGAACACAGAAGGAAGACCAAAGCAAAAGATTGGCCAGGAAAGTGTCTTCAAGGAGCAAAGTGGTAAGCTGGTCAGCGACGTCGCTGGCATCATTGGACCGGGTCCTGCACATGCCATGGAGCATCATGCGAAGAGTCGACTTGCCTGGCGTCCTGGAGTCTCGAGATTCCCGACCCAAGATGGTGGGCCTGGGCGTCGAACCTGGAGCCGGATGCGAGCAATCACACGAGGTCAACAGCTTGCCAACTCCGTGCATTCTCAAGGCACCTGTCGCGGATTGCGGGGCACTCAGAGCTCCGAGGCTGGCGTCCGAGACCGTGCTGTTCTCAGCGGCCAAACGGGATCTTTTGCTGTAGGTCTGAGTCCGAAGAGCTCTATACTGCCCGATCCCAGGGACCAGTTCCGAACAAGAAGCCCTTCTGCTTTTTAATCGGGTCCTAAAGATCGGGTTGCGAGGCCTGTAAACCGCTGAAGACCTGCCCAAGACCACGCTGGGCTATTTCTAAGTCAGACCTGTAGCGCTTCAAGCCTAGGCTGCACAAAGGAAACTGTGTGAGGTGCCTGCTGCTGTGCCTCAACCCCGTCTGGATTGCAGAGGCTGAGATTGAAGCAGTCACTCACTCACACACGCACACGCATTGCACTTTTCCCCGGTGCATGCAAGGCTCGCTTCGCATGCTAACCACATGGAGTGGAAACCTTCGGTGCGACGAAAGTGCCCTCCGGTCGGTCTCAACTGACATGGGTTGTGCATTTTCCAAGCAACGGTTCGGAGCTGGACTGTGCTGGAGACTGGGGCGTCGCCTGGGTTGTAACAATCACGAGTTTCAAGCAAAGCAAAAGGCCGAACTGGCCATCCAAGCGAAAGCAAAAGCTTCTTCAGAAAAACAATCCTCCTGGGCCACCAGCTGCAGCCTCTCCCTCATCGGAGGAGGGCGCCGGCTCGGGATGTGGCCGCGGCCTGGACTGCCAGGAGGGCAATCTTGCACTCACAGCCTGAAAACTTGGCAGACACGTGGCTTCAGGTTCTGTGTTGGTTGCACCTCCCATTGTTGGAAAGCCTGGCGATTCACCTCTCAACTCCGGAGGCCTATTCTGCATCCTAGTCCTAGTAGACTATCTCCCCGCTGGCCTTTCACTCTGTCACTTCTGCACCCTATCAGCCAGATCGTGCTCTGCAACCATTATCCGATAGGCCCAACCGCAACGAGTTCAAGCTGCAACTTCTAATCAAGTATGCTCATGCTCACATCATATCGAAGCAGTCTCTGATTTACCACCCGCTCTGAAGCCGAGGCGTGCAGCGAAGCATCTCTTAAAGCCACTAATTCTACAAGCCGAACGCAAACTTTGACTGTCTTTCAGGTTTACGCAAAGGGGCTTGGTCGGTGTGTTGTTGCTGGAGCTTTGGGAGCTGCGCTGCGATCTCTCGTCCTCCTCTGCCACAGACTGCAGTGTGCTCGTCCGCCTGCCATGTGCCCAGTCCACGCTCGAAAGCATGACAGCATGGCGGAAGACGCGGCCCCTCAAAAGCATGTACTGAGAATACCTGGTTGCTGGGCAGGGCGTTACAAGCCACCCGGCTTCAAACCTGAATTCGAACCGGCATGAACCGAACCGCCTGCAAATGCACAGCATGACGTGGCAAGGATGCCAGCCTCGGCGAATGCTTCCTTGTGAGGGCGCGCAAAAGGATATCCTGGCTTTTCACCTGCAAGACTGGGAACCTCTTGAGAGGCTAAATCCATCTACATCCCGCTCCATCCATCCAACTGCCAGCAAACTGCTGCTGATTCAGACTGCTGCTGATCCTGGCTTTTACACAGGCCGGGCTGCCAGGAGCGACAGCTCCTTCACATTTCGCTTCAGGGGAGAATGAACGTACCTTGGCACGAATCGAAAGAATGAAGCTGGCTCACAGCAGCACACTGTCGTCGTAAGATGTCACTTTCTGAGTCAGAGATCTGATGCCAGGCACCGAAAAAACTCGGCTGCGTGCCGGTGCTCTGCCCGGAGCTCCGCAATCTGGTTCGCAGCAGTGCTCAAAGCATGGTAGAGCTTCCCGCCCTCTGCCTTCACATAGCCATCCATGGTGAAATACCGCTTCTCTGCATGCCGCACGTTGACACCCGTTCGGCGCATGCTACAGTAGTTTAGTTTACTATCTAGCACAGCCAAGCCCTGCAAGGAGTTCGACCCTATTACGGCACAAGGGCCGCGGCAAGTTGGGAGGTAGTTTCCATGGAACAAAGCAGAAGCGAGGAGCAGGGCTTTGGCTCAAGGCCAAACAATCCGCCACAAAATTGCTTCCTGCATGGGAAACCTGCGAAGCTGTAGTCAGTTCGGACTGAAACACCTGAAGAGGTGTACTTAAGCGTACTTGCTGTCCTGGGCTTCTTGGGTCCGAGAGCCTTGAGGGCTCCAAGCCCCGACAACTCCGCAGCCGGGTGAATGCGCAGTCGCCTCAGGGCAGCAGGATGGGCTTATTGCAGCCAGTCGCAGCGACGGCGCAGCGACAGCTTGAGGGACGGACAGCTGGGCCAGCGCTCGCAATGGGCGGCAAGCAAACGCTGCCGTCACTGCCGCCTGGCTAGAAACATCAGCACATCAGCACCATCTGCATATCTGCATGTAAGGCCCGCATGAAGCGCTTCTTGAGAACAGGCGAGTCTTAGGCAGCTTAGGACGCAGACCTGTCTGCCACCAGATATCTTGACCAGCCATATGCGACTAGTTGCTCCAGATTTCGACACCCCGAGACGGCTTCTATTGTAAAGGTTTCACTTCCAGACCTCCATCACGCAACTCGCATCGACTTCCAGTGCGCTTTGCCGCCAGCCCGTGGTGAGCGCAGCGACGTCTGCCTGCAGCTCTGCGACGTCCTGCAAGGAATGGCGAACAAAGAGAAATCCCTGTGAACAAACATTAGGTTTGCAGTGCGACTGGGCGAGCAAGCTTCGCCAACTCAGTTTCAGAGGCGAGCGATTGTTCTTGCGTGTGGCGCCTGCTGCAGCTGCGTCTTTGCATTATTGTTCTTCTTGTGCTTCGACATGCTTCGACTCCCATAGCACGACGTGAAAACGAGCCGTCGCATGCCGTCGAGGCATGGAAATTTCAGAGATTGCCCGCAAAGTCTTTTGTTCTCGGATGCTTCTCGCTGCTGCATCTCGCAGAATCTTTGGAGAAGCCGGGAATGGACCCCGAAGTCATCTCTTTCCCTTGGCGAGCTGCAAATCAGGGCTGGCTCCAGCACTACAGGATGCCCGTCTTTTGGCTCCAAGCGGCACGAGAACCTTTTCCACGCCCCTGAGCCAAGCTGACTGCAAAACTTCAGGAATGCAAATGCGAAGAGAGCCGGGCCTTCCCACGTGCAGCAGGAAGCACAGGAAGCTGAGCGGGTGAAGCTGCAGGCTCCTTTGACAACAGAGGGCCGCCTCCGACTCGGAGAAAGGCAAATGGGAGACTCTGACTGCGAATGAAGAGGTCGTCCTTTTTCGGCGCCGCCTGCTCTCGGACCGGTGTCTCCTCGAAGCTCAAAACATTCCGGCCTGTCTTGTGCTTGCGCTTCGCTTCGAAACTCTGCGTCCTCTGATTGGCTGAGCATCTCGGGAACTTGTGCCAAGATTGCATCTAGATCTGGTGTCAGCACCATCCTGCCGAGCAAAAGACACACATCTCATCATTAAAGAGACTGGCCTCACTTTCGCATCTCCTGCTGTTTAGACGCCCCAGGTTGAAGAACTCGCCAGCCAAAGGGCAGACAAGTGCCAGGTCCTCCCAAAACGAAAACGAGCTGTCCGAATCGACCTTCTTGAAGGCTCGCTTCCACTTCGTGTCCTGCTGGAAGAAGGTTTCACATCCCTGGTCGACGCAGAAGGAGATGCCACCGATCTCCATCCTCACCTTACCAGACCTGTGGTGGCCACAGGAAGAGCTCTCGTTTTGAGTAACTACCCTTTCCAAGCCGTAACTCCTGTAAGTTGCGGACTTGTAGACACGAAGCTTTCCCAGCTTGCCATCTGGCAGGCGGGTGATGGTTGCACCTGGCTCATCCTACGTCGTGTCTGTCTACCCGATTACGCAAGCTGCCTGATCCAGCTGATGCCGCATCCTCTGCTTCTCGGAAGAGCTCGTCTTCCTCGGAGCCGATTGCACACAGCTCGACAACAAGCTGCCTACAATGAAATGCCAGCTTGGTCGTTCTTTGGCCACGAATCTGGCTTGCTCATCTCTGGCAGGACACACGGCATCTGCAGCAGAAAGTAGCTGTCCTCCAGCAGCTCCTGATGCAACACATGTGCTAGTTGACCAAACGCAGGCCTTCCCCCTGTTCGATGGTAAACGCATCTGTATCACAGCAGGACTAGTTCGGAATGGCATATTATCCCAAACTCAATACGTTTGCTCCAAATCTAGTAGCTGTTCGACGACGACGCAAGCTCTTAACCGATTCAAAACGGGCAGAAAATGGGCTGCGGGGTTGAAACCGATTGCTGGAGGCTGGAGCCATGTGGCTGCACGGCGAAGTGGCGCCTGTCTCCAAACGACGCGAGTTTGATTTCGGACAATGGTAGGGTACTTGAGCGATTCGCTCGCTTTCCGAGAGAAACCAAACGAAAGCATTTGCGGTGCGATTTTCGGATCTGTTGAGACGAAGGCCGAATGCGTTTAGCATACCTAGGGAAACATTTGCACTTGGTCGGTGGCTTGGAGAGCTCAAGTAAAGCCACTCCCTAAACACGTTTTCCAACCCGCGTGGAAGCTGGTCCGGAAGTTGCCCCGGCCCGCTCTGGCGGAACCCGCCCGGTACCTGTCCCGGAACCTGCCCCGGAACCTGCACGGCCAGAACCTGCCCGGGAACCTGTTGTTGATTACACTTGTTGGCTGTTTTCTGCACCTTTAAATAGCATAAAACCTCGTTTCTGGTTTTGTATTCTTTCATTTGTAAGTATATGGAACCCGTTGTTGATTACACTTTTTTGCTGTTTTCTGCACCTTTAAATAGCATAAAACCTCGTTCCCGGTTTTGTATTCTTTCACTTGTAAGTTTCACATATCTTCGAGCCGTCCCTGTCCTTTAGGGGGGATCACAGTCTTAACAATATTTCATCCCCAGATCTTGCCGCGGTGTGCCCCAAACCTTACTTATTTCGACTGAAAACCCCAGAGCTCACGCTGTTGGGAAAAAACCGACAGCTGCTGAAGTAAGAGCGATGGCAACTCTGCTCTGCGTGGACCAGTTTTGCCAGCTGCCCGTTCCTGGTTGGGCCCGAGCAGCTTCTCTGCAGCCTTGGAATTTGCCTCGTCTATGTGGACGAGCTTGGGCCTTTTCAGGGACTTCGGCAAGCTGCCACATCGAGCACTCGGCGTCGTGCTCATACGCAAGACCAACTCAATCCAAGATAGGCATCTAGCGCGAAAATGCCAAAAAACTGCTTATGGCACATGGTGGCTGCCTCGTCTTGTTTTCGTGGGAGTCCTGGACAATTACGCCAGAGCCTTCCTCCTCCACATCGAAATAAGGAAGAGATATCCTGATGGTGGCCACTCGCACAAGCAGATTGGTGCCCTCGCGCACATACCCGGAAAATCTGCTGAGTATGGGAGCAAAGCGCGGAGCGTAGCTGGGCATCGGCTCGCCGTTCCACATCTGCATGCCTCCGGAGAAAGCGAGGTCCATGAGGTCCATGGACCTTTGGGGGGGCGCTGCGGAGCTCCATGCCGCTGGGCCTGCTGGGCGCCTCCTCCCCTTGGGCCTGGGCCTTCCTCTAAGTGCCGGGCTTGCCCTCCTGGCGCTCCTTTCGGCCCTTCCGCGGAAGCGCCGAAGCCCCGACTCCGCCGAGGCGGCTCGAGGTCCTCAGCTGCCACCACGTCCGCGACGGACACGGCCACGGCCACGGTGCAAAAACGCAGAGACCAGAGCGGCCAGGAAGCAGGCCGAAGCTTTTCAGGGACATGCCATGGAAGCGCTCCTGGGCTTTCCGAACGAGTCATGGGCATACTGCTATCACTTAGCAGATGAACTTGCATCATTCGCATCTAACCCCAGCCCTATCCGTGAGAATAGTAGGGTGGCTCAATACCTTGCATGAATTTTCGACCGTCGCACTCGGACAAGCTAGCGACGTTGGGTTTCGGGCTAGCCACTGGGTGCCCTGTCGGACATTTGTGTGTTGCTCATCTTGGCTCTAAGTTCTAAAGCATGCTCTGGCTCTATCAGACGAATCACTACTTGCCCGTTCCCAATGGGCTTAAGCTCGAGTGTCTATGCATGGTCAAAACGGTCAGGACTCACGAACCACACAAGATGCTTCTTTCCATTCTAAGGTTCCGCTGTCTGTGGGACATCTCGTGCGCGGCCTCATCGTCAAGTCGAGTCACCGGTGCAACTGTGGCAAGAGCAGGCACCGTCAGGTTCAATGATGTCCGGCCTGATTGAAACTCAACACTCTGGCGCCGCGCAGCTGCATGGAGCATGTGGCCAACAGACTCCTGCAGCAATGACGAGTCCGACTCGAGCTATGAGCTATTCTCAAAGCTGCAGGCCTCCGGTCCCACGGAGGCCAGGCTCGACTTCTCGACCTCACACACGCACGAGCCGCACGAGGCGCGTGGCCACCGGCTCGGCCGGGGGCTGCCCTGGGCCCTCTCGGGCAGGTGCGGCTCTCTGTGTGGTGGGCTTCTGCGGCCGGAAAGTCTTCGGACGCTTCGGCTCCGGAGCTGCACTTCCCCTTGGCTCTGGATTTTGAAAAGGCCTGCGGCCACTACACTCGGCACACGATGTCCCAAAGAGAATCGAGCAAAGCGCACAGTCCAGAAGACGATTGAAGCTGAGATGCTCCGCGGAATAAGGTCTGTAAGCCACTGGTTGTGGCACATCGTGGCCATCCGCCATCGCAAGGCCAAAAAGCAGACATCCCCCCAACGCTAAGCCAGAGATGAGCTACGAAGAACACTGCAACCTGACGCAAGCCGAATCTCACTCTCTCGGCTTGGCAGGGATCAGCTCGTGTCATGACTGCCGGCACATCCTCCACGGCACCCTACATGTCTGGAGTAATCTCTGGTACCGGGACCCCGCTTGCCCGTGCACGTCTCAGCTTGTGCGTGCCCTTCGCGTTTCTCGATTCTCATGACCGTTCCCGAAGCTGAGTTCTGCCCTCGGAAGTCGACAAGCCCGCCAAGCCGCATGGCGCTCCGGCCAAATGAAGACGATGCGACGATGTGTCATATCGTGTCACAACGTCAAACGCAACCCTCTCCTTGGGCAGGCCATGGGTCCATCCACGCCGCTTTAGCGTACATCTGACCTGACAAATGAAAAAACAACACAAAATGAGAAACGGCAAGAATGAGCAAAGGCCAGTCACGACAGTCACATCTACATCCAGGTTTCGTCGAGAGTCCAGGGATGATTTCTCAGCCAGTGCAGCTAGTCGAAGACCAATGAGTGTCTCATCGACGGCCTGCCACTGCTAGTGTCTCTGTATGTGCGTGCGCCTGACTCTAAGCTAGGGGTTCGTGGATGTCTTGACACTTGTGCGGGTGAGTTCGGTCTGCTGTAAAGGCTTTCATGAATTCGCATGCGCAGAGGCTTGGCTTGAGTGGGCGATTGCACCGGCGTGATACAGCTGCGGAGTGTGACTCCAGCTGGACACAGTCAGTTTCAGCTTCATTCATGCATTCTTTCATGTTGTGTTGGACCGACGGCGTACTCTGCATTTTCCTGACAGGGCTTGGCTAAGTTAGGCTACTCTGTTGATATGACACTGACACGTGTACCATGCACTCTGCCGAGATATGGAACATTTTACGTTTGTGCTACTGTCCTCCATCATGGACATGGGCATAGGTGCTCACTCCGTGTGCAACCACATCAGTCATGCAGGGGGATGGGATGCACATGTGGGAATGAACACGTGCCCTCCAGCATGCATGGTAGCATCCATCGTTGCTCGCCGACATGCTGCATTTGCATAACAGGCCGGAACATGCAATTAGTCGTAGCATTGCTGCAGGCCAACCAGGTGTCTGTCTTTGATTGCGGAGTCTTTTTAAGTAAAAGGAGGGGGACTACCCCCACTCGCCCTCCTGTCGGGCAACCATTGGGCGCCCAGGTGGACATCACAACGTGTGGCGGCATCACGGCTGTCGGCACACAAGCGACCATGCAACCCAAAGCAACAACCAAATAATCTCCACTCCAGACCTCTTCTAGCTCAATACAATACTGGCTTCACGACTGGCTCAAGTCAGCTGGACACTTCCAGCACCGGTCGACTACAAGAGAAGATGCCACTAGAATCACTGGAAGAGGCAAAGCAATCTCACTCGACGAACCATCAGCCGGTTCAGGAATGGGGCACAGCCCTCTTCGGAAAGCATCTAACAAAACCTGAAGCGCGAAGGCCTGAGGGGTGGCCATGGCGATCGGGGCCAGCAACTCCTGACAAAATTCCGAGGAAAGGCTGGCTAAAGTGTTGTTGGCGGACGAGCAACTTCATAAGCGGTCAAACCAGTTCGCAAGTCCTGCAGCTCTCGCACGTGGCTCAACTCGCGCCCCCTCAGGCGCTCTGAGAAGGCGCAGAAAGAGAAGAAGGCCAGCGACACCCTCAGATGGCGAGTCAATCGTTAGCGAATCTCCCTTCAGCCGATCGACCGCTTCAAGAACCCTAGAAACACTCCCTTTTTTCAACTCGATCGTTTCTCTGCATCTCATTCATAAAGCGGCCCAAGCGGTTGTCTCATCGTGCTACAACGCCTTCCACACATCCCTTTGGAACAAAGTCGACAAGCCGTACCATCAAGGGATGAGTGAGAAACTACTCCATGCGGAACAACCTGGTAAAGAATAAAGCTGTAGCATGCCGGGACGGAAGGATGGCACCCTAGACGCCGTCAGCGTCCTTCGTTGCATCACGGAGTAGTCGCGGCCAGCCAGCCAACAAATTCAGTTTCAGAGACAGCCCTGCTACACGACGTTGCAAATCCTGCATCTGTGCGGCAAACACGTTGATCATGTTTGGCAACGCATAGGACACACCCAAATAAAACGCAACACCTGGTTGATGGTTCAGTGCTGCCGCTGTCGCTGCATCATGCGTGCAATATGTTCCAGGCAGCAGCTTTGCTATGTGCCAGGAACCTTAAAATGAAGCAACCACGCCGTAACAGCCGGGTGGGCTGAAGGTGGGAAAGCGAAAATGCCGCCATTGCAGACTTAAAGTGTTGCCCACCCTCTCGACTAACCCGAGACTGAGTGAAGTCGAGTCTATGCCACCTGTCGGCAGTTTCAGCAAAGATGTCGCCGAATTGGCTGACTGTGATTGCTTCGTGGTAATCTCGGAAGAGCCGCGGCGGATATTCTTTGCATGGTTTTGCAAGCTGACCCGTCCACATTGGCACGCTACATCCGGGAACATCCGCCGACGAACACGAATTCGTCATTCTTCGGGTGAAGACCCGCTGGACTGCTGCTCGGAGCATTCTCAGCTCGGGATCCGGCAGCATTCTCAGATGCGGCATGCAAGAAAAGAAAGCCGTGCAAAACGAAGAGCCTGTGACTCTCGAGAAGCCTAAACACTCCGTAGATGTGCATGCACTCTCGAAGTCAAAAATCGCTTCTGTCGGGCTTTGCGGCTACTGGCCTGCGGGCAAGCTGTCAAAGTACTTTTGAACTTCCATCCACTCCTGCTGATCGCGCCGGCAATTGATGAAATGATGCCGTCGGGCAAACTTGACCCAGGGACACTCGCTGCTTTCGGCCAGCTGCCGTGTGGCTCGAGCGGTGCCCCTGAACACATACAAGTAAGCTGCAGAAAGCACCAGCGATCCCGACAATAGCTTCATGGCAAGAATGCCACAGCAAAGGGCAAGGCACAAGCAGCTGTCTTGCACCATGGACGCCTCTCCCAGCAGCAACTGCATCATGCTAGCTCACTCACGAAGCACAGAAGCAGTAAAGCCTTCTTTGCTTAAATCCTCGAGCCAAAATCCCGCGATGAGCTGTCACAGTGCAATACTAAACCCCTTGTAGTGACGAGCATGTGACACCAACGTGGAGGCCCTGCTGCCCTGGCTGCCGAGGCTCGAGAAGGACCAGAGGATGATGAGAAAAGCGCCTGCGGCCAAAAGTCTCGGCTGCGTGGCCCAAAGCTCCTTATGCCGAGACACCCCAAAGCTGAATCTCCAGCTGTTCCATGACCTGCAAGTGATGTAGCAATATCCGCACACCTACGACGCCCAACGATCAGCAGAAGAGAACGCCCAGAAAATCGGACGGAGGCATTCTTTAGACCAGCGGCAGAACGCGTAGCAGAGCAGAACCGGACCTGAGCGACGCTTCAAAAGGGGGGGCAGCTTCTGCTCGGAGCCTGAACTCTGGGAAGGCCCGAAGGCTCTGACAAGAGCGTTTCGTATCTGATGCAGGCAAGCATCTTCGGCCTCTGTCGGGTAACGGACCTGGGATGCCAGAAAGCCATGCCACAGCCCCAACTGCTTCCGGCCCACAGGTTCAATAGCTTCTTGTCTTGAGCATGAGAGTTTTGAGCAGACCCTCTCGTCACTGAAGGCTTCGCGAGATTCCGAAACTGCCCAGCCTGACTCCCACGCATCAGCCTGCCGGATAAACCCACCACCCGGAAACAACGACAGCACAAAAGGGATAAAATAGAACCGGCCTGAAGTATACTGCAAGCACCTCTGTGCAACCCGCTGTCGCCGCTGCATCGTTTCATTGTGCTTCTGATCAACACATGATTGAGTTGTCATTCGTCTTTGCAGGATGGCGTCTGGACACCGATCAGCACCGGGGTCTCAGGAGCATTCCACGAGAAAAACCGTGCACTGCCACCCTGCCCCAGCTGAGCTCAGGTCGTTGAAACCCGCTGTCGCTCACGTGTTTGTGGGTTAAATAACGAGGCAAACGCCCAAAAACGCGTGCTGGCCCGGCATGTTGCAGACAATCTTTCTTTCCTTCCTTATCTCTCCGTCCGTGAGCACGTCACAGTATTGGATCTTGGGGTGTTTCGGACTTGTGTAGGGTCCCAGTCTGTCCCAGTAGTCCAGGTAGGCAGGTGGTATCCTGGTTGGTTCTTTGGGCAATACGGGAGCTGCGCTTGCAAGCCATGGCTGTGTTGTCTTTCTGTGCTTGTAAGGGCCCTGTTCCCTTCTTTTGCCCCTCTCTTCTCTATGTAATCTCGACTACACCTTCTTTTTCCTGGGCGAAGCATCAGCCAAATGTGCTGGAAGCATTTCGATCTCAAGGCCCAGATACGCGGAGAGAGGTTGCAGTAAGCATGCTCTGCAAGAGCGATCGCCAAGTCGTCGCACCCGTCCCGGTGCTCGTTCGCACCAAGTAGCTTGTGACGGTGGAAAGGTGCAGGCGACGAAGGCCTCTGAAAGCCTTCACACACTCGCCGTAAGCCTCTTGAAGATCATGCACCTTCCGCTTCTCTATGAACGTTGGGAGGGGGTCCAAGTCATGCCAGCGCTGCCGAAAGTCCAGCACCATCTGCCGGTGCTCTGCAGGCATGTACGACAGCATCTCCTCCTGGAAAGCAACGCCTGATTCGGAGTGGGAGACTGCCAAGAAGCTGTCCAGCAAAAGAATAATGGTGCTTTGTCCAGCGCTGGGACCCTTGCTCTTGTTCAGCAATCCTGCACCTTCGACGGCTTTCGTCACACAGGCTACGGGCCTTGTTAGCAGGTCTGCTGCTGCCTCTGACACTTCCATCTTCAGGCCGCTGGGATGAAAGCCGTTGAGCAGTGGCCGATAAACGTCGTAGAACACGTCTTTGTCTACAGTACCTGCGATCTGCCGGAAGAAGTGCTGAAACTGAAGGAGGACATCTGCCACCTCGCGTAGAAGGTTTGCGAGCTCTTCATCACACGCACCCCTGACCAAGATGTCGGCCAAGAAAACCTTTGGCACCACCTCAGCTGCCGCAGCCTGCATGGCACATGGCACCATGTGGAACGCTCTTTCAGTGCTGGTGCCTGTCAAGGAAATGCCCTGCTCAAGGTTCTCGGGCGTGAAAGGGCCGGAAGGGTCGCGCAAACGCCAATTCCAAAGGTCTGTGGCTGCAGCCGTCAGTACAGGCGGCACACCCAACCGAGAAGAGACCTCCAGCCATGGCTCTGCCAATTGCGCTGGCAAGCAACTCAACGATTTCGAGGCTGTGTTGGTGAGAGGACCCCTCCCCCGGTCGCCGACCAGATGCCAGGGAACTTCATCGCCATGCGAATAGGAATGCGCGAGTGCACCCAAAAGCAGAAATGCACGCTGCAGCAGCTCTTTCCCTGCGCCCTCGAAGCATTTACGGTCCATGTGAGGCAATCCATCCACTGCTCCCTTCAAACTACCTGCACGATTCAGATCTGGCAGTTGATCAGCCAGTCTCTCCCAGTCTTGGAATTCACTGGGAAGCCTCTTCATGCAAGAAAGTGGAAGGAAACCCCGCGTGCTCAGTCCATAGCGCAGGCGTATTGACGGAACCTTAGCCAACACCTCGTGATGATCGCATCTCCGTCGCCTTTTGCCACGCTTAAGCGAGCGGGGATAGTGCTGTCGGACAGCTGGCATCAAGACAGCAAGCAAGCCACAAGCAGCGAAGCCTAAGCCCCAGCTGAAAAACCAACGACCTCGCAACTGCATGGCCTGACTATCTCAGAACAAAACATCTGTGTCTGCGAGCCAGAGGTGCTATGCTTCCATATCTCGGCGTTAGATCCCACTTCGGGCCTACCGTCGTTGAGGCGACGTGTCCCGTGACTCTAGTGTCCCCCATTCCCCGCTTCAAATTCCAAGAGCAGCTGCTCAAGCAAAGATGCATCAATAACAAGCCGCGCTTTTTCCTCCATGTGGCAGACCTTTGGAGCTTGGATTTCAAGCTCTCACTCAGCTCGTCGCTCTCTCTCTCGCTCTCTCTCTCTCGCTCTCTCGCAGGGGCTAAGTGTCCGCCATCACAGCTTGGTGACTGACGCGACTTGTCCTTTACAACGCCCTGGAATCCAATAGCTGCGCTCAGGTGGCACAGCACGACGCGGTATGTACATGAGGAACGTGCCGGAGGTGTCTGCTGGACTCCAAAGCCAACACGGCATGTTGTGGAATAGGATCACTGGAGCAACTTGAGGACAAAATACACCCCTGGCACATGTTTTGCCGTCACCCTGTCAAAGCGCTAAGCTTCGTGCAAACAAACGACTCGCTTTGGCGAAAGCATCGTTTGACGATTCGAGCCGTTGCTGTGAGATGTTGACCTCTCCTCAAGCCCCTTCACACTTCCACTGCTCCTGATCTTTTCCCAATACCCGCCCCTCAACTCATTCTCTGCGCAGAGAGCACAAAGCTGAAGTCGACACGACGGGTAAGATGTAGCCATCTTCATGCATTACTCAAGGGCGAATTGGCTTCTGAACTGAATGACAGGTGTTTACACACGGTGGAGCTATGAAGCGGAAGATCTTGGCACCGGTCTGTCAAGCCATGCGACATCGAGTTTCCGAGGGCTCCGAGAGCTTTGAAAACGCATCTTTTGCTCGAGACCCGAAAATCGACATCGGCACACCTAATGAAATTAGACATGGAACAGGCAGCTCGGCGTGTGGCGAGTCCTTCTGGACTTGTTTAACAAGCCACAAACCCGCAAAATGCTCCACCTTGGGCTGATACGACTAGGCCTGCCAGCATGGCCCAGATGCACCGCGCAAGCGCGAAACCGGAGGCGGGCTTTCGCCCTTGTGAGCGAGCCGGTCGAATGTCACACTACCAAAAAGCTTTGCCTGCACACTGGACAGCCCGTTGATGCTCGGCGTTTCGCGATGCCCCAAGCCATGATGCACTCCTCACAGAAGACTAGACAAACAGCATGACTCCACATCTGTCGAAATCTGCTTGTACAGTCACAGGGCTTGCAGTACCAGTACAGCTTGGTCGATCTGGCACTACACAGTACAGGATGCGATGCAGAGGCTCTGCCCTAGTCACTCAGCAACAAAATGTCAAGATGCAGACGTCATTGCAAAGCTCTTCAACAAGAGGCCGGCGATCCATCTGCTGCGGACTCGTTTCTCGGACCTGCCTCATGGAAGATGTGTCCGCACGGCAGCAAAGCCACTACCGAGGAATCCTGGCACCAAGAAAACAAGAAGAAAAGTTCTGTACGCAGCCGCTCTGCTCGTCTGTTATCTTAGTTGTCTTCTACTCGCATCTGGACTAAGCTTTCGGTACAGAAGCTGAGCTTGCAGATTGCAGTTGATTGCATGTTGGCTGTTGGCCTCGAAATCTTCAAGGCAGCAGAGGCAAGTTCTTTGCTCACTCATACCCTTCGCCGGCGCTGGATCGAGCACAGACCTCAGGCACAACACACGTCAACGAAGCCGCCCTCCCGATCCGGCTGCGGAAGCTATCTGCGATCATGGGACGCTTTGTCCAAGACCTTCTTTGTCGGTGCTTGGCGAGGATCTTGTGACTGAATTTGCATATAGTGGAAGTCGTGCTCGGCCGCGGACAGGGAGTCCTCCAGCACACTTCACGAGAACTGAAACAATGTCAACACATCATTGACAAAACGCGAAGCCTGTGCCACCTGTGACGACGCCTACGCCTCGCACACCCGGCACGACCTTTCTCCATGCAGCCAAAGATCGTACGTCATGGTCGCCCAGAGGCGGCGTCGGATGTGCTTTTTCCTCGGAAACCATACTGTGCAGGTTGCACTCGCCAGAAACACTAGAATTATGCTGTACCGGGCGGCCCGGACTCTGTTTGAGATATCTTGTCTTACAACATGTGCAGGCAAGGTTCGGCACAACCTCGGCCTTCATGACCTCGCAGCGGCAACGCTGCAGCCGCATTCGAACAAGTGTTCCCAGGAAGATCATCATGCAGGAGGCTCCAATGACCTCCTTCCGAAACGACTCAAAGCCAGGAATAGACACTGTGAACGGCAGCAGCAACCCTGCGCTGATGAGGCAGCAGGTGAACTTGCTGAAGGGGCTCACGAATGCCAACTTCCGATCGGTGGAGGTTCTAGCTGGCGGGGAGGCTTCACCCGAGACATCTGGAGAATCGTCTCTTTGGCCGACAGCTGTCTCGATATCTCCATGGCTCATGGTGGCAAAAAGGAAATGGAAATATCGGAACCTGCAGTTTGGGAACCTGGTCCAGCTACATGCTTTTGTCTGGCCTGGACATCTGGCAACGGCACTGCTGTGAGCCAAGCAGGCACAACGCGCTCAAGCTGAACCTGCCTTTGAATTTGCCCCTGCATCGATTCTCATGTCTGAAGCCCGATAGGTTGAGCTCGAGCACTGATTGGAGAACGTCGCAGTCGGGGGTGCAGAACGCAGTCGCTAAGACTCCTGCAAGCAGGTCTCGTGTCGAGGCTACACTCGCAGCTTAACAACAATCCATCTAACAACTGTTGCACCAAGGCACCCAGAAGGCCCGACCTTGGCGGCATAGATGCCACTTGTCAGACACAGCTGCGATGTAACTCTCAGCATTGGACCCAGCATGGACGGAAACAGCGTCAACGGGATCATCGAGCTTTGCCCACCGCATAGCCCGTGAGCACGCAGGATACACCTCATTCAACATCAGATCATGCAGCAAAACAATTTTCGAGCATTCATCATCTCGTGATAGATCGTGATCATGAAGTGCCACATGCTTGTGCCCAAGCGTTGTGATGGTCAAGCCCATTGCCCAAACAGGACCCAGTGGAAGTAGCCGTCACCCCTTCCTTCTCTGTTCGGAAAAGGCACCAGCAAGCCGCTCAGCAAGCCAATTACGGCGCTCGCAGCTGGCGAAGCCACATCGCAAGGAGCAGTAATCGCGACCATGCCGCTCAAAACCTGCAGTAGTGCTTTCTTCTCGGTCCACATCACTGGACAGCACGCAAATTTCCTGGCATGGCCGTTTGGAACTGAGCTTGGGACTCCATTGCACAGGAAACCTGCAGGCAAGGAAAACTGCAAATAAAACCTTGCAGGAAACCAGTGAGCAGCTGGCCATTACGACAGCGCTCTTGCATTCATAGCCAGCTCACACTAGACCATAGCTCAATACGCATGTTCGTGCGGGCCGGGTGATTGCAACGAACAGCCCCGAAAGAGGTTAGCGGGCCCTACCGACCGTCTGTTACTGCCCCTTTACCTGCCGAAACCCCGAGCACGAATGAACGAGTTCGGAATGCGGAACGGGTGCACGCTGCCATGTTCAACCGGGTCCATTTGGCTTCTGAGTTTCCCTGCCGTTCCACCGTGTTTGACCTGCCGAAACAAGATGAGGCATAAAGTTCGTAGGTTCTGCGGAAGCTGGCGACTGGATGTCGCACACGACCCGGACACAGCACGATGCTTGTCGGACGTTTGGCTAGGATCAGCTGACCGATGGGTTGGGCCATGGCAGAACAGACCACGGCAGATTGGAAGCTCGTTTGGCGCATCCCATCACATCACATCACCACAAGCAAGCAATTCAAGTTGATCGACTCTCGGTGAGAGCAAAGAACTCCAGAGTCTCCAGAGACAAGGTTGGTGCTGGCAAGTCCCAGCACCAACCTTTTGTGCCGCAAACAGTCTCGAGTCTCGCCCATGATGTGATGCTCCCGAAGCTTGCATCTATCCGACTGTCAGGACCCAGACTGATGATGCCAAACAATAGGCTTGCTCTATCCTGAGAACCAACTCCCGCCAGGCAGCATGGTGAACCTTTCGCCCTACCTACTGCATGTTGCATGTCGCCAACGTCCCCGCCTACATCCAGATTCCTCAGGATATCCAGCAAACATGGCTTGAACACACAACTTGCTCCGGCCGTGTCAGGATGAGCCGGGTACTCTCAACCAAGCTTCAAGTGGAAACCGTAGAGGTAGAGGCAAGCACCCAGTCCAGCGGCGCTGGCGGCGAGGGTGGTGTTCCAGGAGACCAGAGCAGCCTGGCCAAGACACAAGGCAGGGGCCCCGGAAGAACAGATCAACAGATCGATCAAGCAACTGCATGCTCGTGATGATGGCTGGCCCCCAGCACGGACCTGAGTTCAGCTGTGATCCAAACCGAAGAAGCTTCACGAGTCGACTGCGTCAAACAAAGATGCAACCCAGCCGCCCAGCGTTGAAGCCGTACCAGCCCACCCAAAGCGTGAACATTCCTTGATGGCTTGAGAAGCCCTTGCACACTGCTTTGGCTGGCCTACATATTCAAGCTTCCGCGACTATTTGCCGAAAAATCTACGGAACCACTTACCTGCCGGACAGGACACCCATGACTTGCAAGTAGCTGCAATGCTGGAACTCCAGCTTGTCACGTGCCTGACAAAAAGGATTCAGCCAGCTGTCATAGTCACCGTAGGATACCACGCTCTTGACAGGGCCCAACCTCGTCGTCATAACGACGGGCCCAATTGTCCACTTGAACACCATCCCTGGGTTGCACAATGCAGAACAAGGGAACACGATAGGAACCTACTCCAGTACGCAATCCCGCCCTCAAACTTTGCTGCAGCTTGGAATCCAGCGGCGCCGCACCTGCTTCAGACATGATCCCGGATGACAATAAAGCTGCCAGGGAAGCCCATGCTCGTGATCACTTTGTGTGCATGCGAAGATATGCGGCGCGGGAGTGCCTTGAGGGTGCTTTCGGGTCGCTCATCCGACTGGCCTGCAGCAAGGCATTTGGCCGATTTCCGTTCGTGCTAGCTGTGCCAAGAAAACATAACTAGTGCAGGCTGGACTCATTCCTCATCCCTGAGCTGCAAGCGCTGATACTCAGTGTTGGACACTAACACACTTTCAGAACAATGCGCACGTGCTCCGTCAGCTTCTAGCTGCACGCAAGGAGCTCGTCGAGCTCCTTGCACATAATTCGCCTCGAAGCGATTGAAACGCACTGCTGGGCTGTAGGGGAGCTGTGGCATCAATGCGTTCATTCGGTCTCCGGTCCAGTTCTGGCAGCATGCAAACGTCGTGTCATGTCGTGTGTATCATGACCGTGCTTTGGGACGAGCCACCTTCCAAGCAGCATGCTTCCCGCCAATGCAGCGCACCCGCCACTCAAATGAACCTGGGCTGAACGATAGGATTGCGCCCTGCATCCATCAATGTGCCGCAGGAGTGCTGCTCAGCGTTTGGGAAGCCATGCTGCGTCGACAATAGCGCATGAGCTGGCAGCAACTCTCTCCTTTTCCTCTCGCTGATCTACATCACAGTTTGGAGCTATCCAGCCCGTGAATGAAGTACAGCGCCTCGTCCAAAACAACTCACGGAATGCTATTTTTGCATACGACGTACTTCAGAGCTGCTGCATCACGCACTACAGGCAGTGTCTTACTCCCAGCAGCCCGCAAGATCCGGCGCCTGGATGAGCGCCAGGCTGCACAACATGGTCGGAAATCCACCCATGAATATGAGCAGCGCCTGAACTGCGCAGCACGGTGCAGCACTAGTGTCGAAATGGCGAACAGCCTGCGGAGACCTTATTGCTCCGAGAGGCCGATGCCACAGCCATGACGATCGGGCCACGTTGCAAGGCCGGGGCCACGAAGGCCTCGAAGTTCTGCGAGGCAGGGGGTCCTGAACCGTAGCAAACATGCGCAAGAGGTACAAGGCCAAGCGAACGCGGTTCAGCAAGCAGAGCCGCAGAGCCGCAGAGCCAAGAAAAGAGAGAACGGGGGCGTCCTTGGGCGAGGGCGATGCACGGGTACGTCATTGCAGCGAGGAGCAGCATCTTTCGGGGTCTCCTCGAGATCCACCATCAAGGTCGCGTCACATGACTCACATGGTAATGGCAGAGCATTGGCTGCGGGCCTAATCAGGATCAGGAGAAGTACCGCCAGGCACCTCATTTACATTCAGATTACTGTGGCTGCCGCGCCACTTGCCCAGTTCTGCCTGAGGCTGCCACCAGCTTTCCAGTCCCAAAGTGGTCAACACCAGAGGATCAACGCGAACCCTCGACCCGGACCACAAGCTGGTTATCCAAACTGCCGGAGCTAGTTGTTCGTGGACGATGAGCCTCAGACCAAACGAGGGGCAGCCTTCTCTCTCTCGGTCTTTGAGCTCTGCAGCCAGATTGCCGCGAGATTCGGGCGACGCAGGCAGCGGCGCTGAGCATCGCCCAAGTGGAGAGTGGACCGGAATCCTGCGCTCCTGTTCTGCGAGGGTGCTCACTTGCACTTGTACCATACCACAGATCAGACAGGGTATAGAAGAGCACGAAGCACCTGATGCTGCGGCGAAGGCCAGGGAGCGCACAAGGGAGCCAAAGTTCCCACAGGCAGCCCAAACCTCAGACAGTTTTGTCCTTCTGGTGCGGCTCCTTAAGCTTTGAAATTCCCTCAAAGCGAAGATCCCAAAAAAGCCCTTGCGGCAAAGCTGAGCCCAAGTGTAAACATGAAGCGAGCCGCTGCCGGCTTTCGTACCAGGGTTGTCAGCGCCATCCTTGAACACAATCATGGTATGTGCAAGAACGCCGAAAAACCTACAAAATGCCACTTTGGGACACGCATCTTCTCGTGTGCGCTGCGAGGCTCCAGTTCCCCAGTAAGAAGAGAGCTGCCACTGCCAGAAGGCCCCAGAATCGCTCAGCGGTCAGCAAAGTGCGAAGCGGCGCTGCGGCAGCGCGAATTCCGAACTCGGAACAAAGATCGAACAGGCTCGTGGCTAGTACTTGGACACATATGATGTAATGAAGTAATGGCGCAATATTTCAGGAGAAGATGCATAAAAAAAATGCGTGGCTCACGAATGGTCGAGCCACGCCAACGCCACCGGTGTCCCCTGCCCCGCTGAGGGCAGAAATACATAGCGTGCCAGCAAGCCCTCCCACGCTTGCCAAGAGCTTGGCAAGATCCTTGAAAGCAGCAGGGTGCCACAGGACCCAGCTACGCAGTTCTGGAAGTCAACTTATCTCTGATGCCAGTGCTGTTGGGCACAATAACATGGATGGCAAACAAAGAGGTTCAGGCTAGTCTCGTGGACATCTTTGCTGTCAAGGAGTTTAACAATGCCGTTCACCGTCTCCTCCAATCCAGCTTCTGCCTCGGGTAACACCTTAAACCTTACAACCCCTGTCGGTGAAGCGTCTGGATCCACAGCAGCAAAAGCGAGAGCTGAGACCCTGTCATTCTGCTGGGCACGGACAACCTCGCCGATTGCCCTCCGAGCCTGTGTGCCAACTCTGGACCAACCACTCTCAAAGTTTCAGCAGGTGGCCTGTTTGTCCGATGGATTGAGGAAGGCGGCCCCGCTGCAAAGCTCTGCCACCTGGTAAGATACGTTCAGTCCATGACAGCTTTGACGCCATACGAGGCGGCCGCACCAAGAGAAGCCACAATGCCCAAACGGGGGGAGTGGTTCTGGCACACTCCCCACCACCTCCACACAAAATCTGCTAACAGATGGCAACGTGCTAGTGTTACATGAATCCGCCTTGCTCTTCCGAGGAAGCCTTTTCCTTTCCAGCCGCCCCACGAGCCGGGATCAAGTGGCCAAACTTGACCTGGCAGCAGCGATCTGCATCCGGCGACACTTGCACCTCCCTCAATTGGCCTCGGAAAGGAGAGGCAGAATCGACAGGATGCCGACCTGCAGAAGCAGGTCACCAAAGAAAAAGTCCTGTGTTCAGCACGCCGTGTGCTTCCACGTGCAAGCAAGCTTTTCATCACTTGCAGTATGACGAAAATCCAAGACTGTGCTGCCCAGCGACCACGTCACCAGCTAGGCCCAACAGACGCACGATTTCGCGAACAGCGACCATGTCGGTGTGCTGCTACGCTCGTGTTGAAGACCTACCGAAACCTCCTCATGTCCACACTCAGTCGCTCGGTAGTGTCCAGGATCGCAATGCATGCTTGAGTGCTTACTCGGCTTCAAGCTCCCAATTTGTTGGCTTCTGTTGTATACAGATGCAATTTCCGCTTGAGCTTAGAAAGCGGCACGATGCGAGCCCGAATCGGACTGGAACTTAAGAGAACACCACATATCGGCGAGCTGCTTCTCGCACCACTGCAACACTCTCACAACGCACAGAGGTTCAAGATTTCTCTCCAAGCAACAACACCACTGCCAGCGCAATCGTGGTAGTCGACATTTTTCTGAAAACGGCCGTGCCTAAACAAAGCGGAGAAACAAGGACTGGTAACGATCCATGATCGCAACATGCTAGACGGCGAATGTGCTACAACCACGACTAACCCTTTTGGAAAACGAGCGGCAGTTCGCGATACAGGAAAAAGTTGGTGTCGGAGCCCCAGGCACCCTCTGCAAGGAGTGGATAAACCACAACACCGATCACCTGAAAGATCAACGGCGCACACCATGCAGAATGGCATTGTGATGTTTGCTTACCACACAAGGGAAGCCGAGCAACACCGGCATGGACAAGATATGCCTCAGCACGCGCACAATCCACTGATAGCCCTTTTCGCAGATGAAGGATCACCTACATCTTCCGGCCAAGGTGCTATCATGTGAGCTCGCTCCGCCATTGACCCAGAACAGATCCTTGACAGCAGAGATTTAACAAAGGCACAAATGTCAAAAACCTGCAGCACGGGCCCCCAAGCCACCGTGAAGACATTCTGCGGACAAAAATCGTTGCACAGGTGGCACTGAAGGCCCAGTTGGACAGCTCCTTCTCAAACCTTGCGTCTCAGCTCCGTCGCCCGATGCATCATGCTTGACCCTAATTTACCGAGCCCGAGCTGCCGGACGTGTCCATCTGGTCCAAGAACAACGCTCAGGTGCCTTAAGGGCTCTGGGACCGAGAACACCCTCACAGCACAAAGGCTCCAATGAAAGCCTGAACATCGGTGCTGAGCGAGCGCAGGTGATCGTCAGCACAGGGCTGGCTTCTGTGACACAAAGCTATAGAGGCTAAGCTGCAAAAAACGCACAGTCGCAGCAAAGACGAGGCATGTCACCACAGAATCCATGATATTCCTTGGCATGGTCGCACACTTCACGGGATGTTACACCAAGCTGGAACATGCGATCAAAGTGAAAGAAACCCGAACGAGTCCTGCGAGCTTTACAGTAGGGCAAGTATTGATTCGATGGTTGCTTGGTCACTTCAGAACCTGAGGAATGCGTCCGTGTCCATGGTGGCCGAAGCACGGCATGCCCGAAAACACCCAGTCGAGACAGAGGTTTCTCACAGTCAAGAACACGGGCCTGCAATGATTGCACACACACCGAAGTCAGACTGAAAAAGCAATACCAAAAACCTTCGGAGCGGAAGCCGGGGGATCGGGCGAAGTTGGCGCCCAAGCGTCTTGGCGAGAACCGTCATCCTGTGAGCCTCGCGGACACCACCAACCTGACAACAGAGCTGCGCTCCGCTCGGCGTAGCTCGAAAGATCTGGACCTCGCCTCCAGCATAGCGAAACCCAGCTGCATGGAGACCACCAGAAACCTTACGAAAACAGCACAATTCTGGGCTCCCTCGCATCAGTGCCTTGTTCTCTGCGAAGGTGCGTGCACAGGAGCAGCCATAAGGACTGTAGGCCCTCTTCAAGCTCGAGATCAGTTTCGCCTGACAGTGGCGTTCCACACTGCGCTTGTGCCCGTCAACTGCCGCATACCACCTGCACAATCTGAAATCCTGCCTGATGGCATGCCAGGATGTGCAGGCCACTACCTATGCTGCAACGGAACAATGGCGAATCGGGAAACGCACCCAGAAAATCCCAGACACCGGGACCCTGTCTATGCACGATGAGTCGACCTCGACAAAAGACTGCAACACCAAACGACCACAAGTTGCGCAGCTAAGCTCCCAACATGTCACAACCCGAACAATATTGGTGTCACAAGGCGCCTTTTGACTTCGGGAAGATCTGGCAGTCCCGAAGGTTCCAAACATTCAATGATGCTGGGAGACATACAACCCGTAATGAATTTTTGATTGCAAACGATTCTGTATGATTGTTCGTCTCTGCGATTTTCCGTTTGTCCTACTGGCAACAGGCATCTGTGCCGTCCGGGATTTGGAACCGATGGGCGTGATAGTTGCAGGATGCGTATATATATTCTTCGTGTGCATACATTCGTACACATAATAAGCATAATACCTGCCGGCCTGCCGACTGCCCACCTATATACACACGTACGTACATAAGTACATGTGTCGTGACATTGCAATACATTGCATTATGTGCGGCATCACGAACATTACAAGCACACAAATGCGTGACATTGCAACACTTTGCATTTCGTGCGTTTTGTGCACATACTGACTCATTCATTCACTCATGCAGCAAGAGAAGTCTCGCGTTGCTTCGGCAGCAAACAACTGGCAGCCCCTAGGACGCATGCCAAATACGGCACCCGGGACCTAGGGCCATACTGAAAACAAACAAAGCGAAAACCAGTCAGTTCCTGAAATGCCGCCATATGCACATCCGCAGAACGTCCCAACAAGTCGAGAACGGTTTCAATGGTCTGCCCTTGCACATTCCAAGTTGCCAACAGCAGACTCGCGAGGCCGCCCTGATCACCAAAGGATCGTGGGTTTGAATTCTGTGCCGACCGCCAGGTCCGCACGGGTCCTCCAATGTGTGTGGAGCTCCTCGGCCCTCTGACAGCCTTTGGCCAGAGAGTGAATCCAAGCCACACCACAATGCCGGTGTTAGTGTCTTGCTCCAACCACACCAAGAACTGATCCTGCCGCGGTGGTGGTGAACTAAAGAGCTCCTGCGACACATCAGCACGTGCTGCTTCCCATTTGTCTACCTCGAAAAAGCTTTAGGGCTTTCCCAGGCGCACCAGCAAGGATCGGATCATGGCCACAGCCCGGGCCGCGATCCGCTAAGCAAGCGTCTTACAATTTCTAAGGACCCAGATTTCCTGGAAAAGTTCATATTGGAAACTAGGCGGGGACGAGATGCTGCCCTCAGGAATGGACATCTTCGCACGCCGTGGCCTTCCGTGGTAAGTTTCATACCATCCTCCAACGATGATCAGCATAAACGGCACAAAATAGTTCTGCGCAACTTGGAGTCCGTGTTCTGCTGAGGTGGCTGAGCACACACACGGATACTCACCCAGAAAATGTCTGTTGGATCGAGATCTGCCACGGGCTGATCTTGGCGCTTCGTGCTACCAGGGTGCCCACCTTCCGACGGAATTGGCATTAGCAACAGGTCGAGCAGGTCCGCGGTTGGGGCCGACATTGCGACCAAAAGTCGTCTCGAGAGTAACCTGGATGCGGCTCTCGACTTGTTCTTGGGCCAACATGACTGTACAAGTAGAAAGAAGTAGTTGGAGACACTGTTCAATGCGATCCTTCGTGGGATGACCCAGCTTTCCGGTCTGCAAAATCCGGTTGCGATCGTTCAACGGAGGCCTTGCGAGTACCTCGCATCGTCGAGCAATTGCGCGGCTACGGGAGCTTGCAACATTGGCGTGGCATGCTCGCAAATTGCTTCCCAGGCGTTGCCGTGGCTGCGCTGTCGGCAGGCATCCAACTTTCACATTCACAACTTTCCATAAAGCTTTTCCAGCTACCTCGTAATGCGGCGGATGATGAGCATTCGCGCGAACCAGTCTAGGTCGGAGGCGTACATGCACACAATTACGTTACCTTCCCTTACCTTACCTTACAGTACTAGATTAAATTACATTACCTTACACACATCCACACATATGCGCACATAAAGTTAAACACATGCAAACGTACAAGCACACATTCACATACATGCTTCTTCTTCTTCTTCTGGATGGCTTGGGCATTGGGCTCGGTGAAAGCACCACTCCCACAAATGAACTCCCAAGAGCCCGCTGGTGCCTGTTTGCACTAGCGCTATGGGCTGAGCAGTAACCAAGCTACCAATGGGGGCGAGCGAGAGCATAAACCGCCAGCGCAGGGAGGCAAAAGCCGTATCCCCACTCTCGAAGACAAGTTACGCTGAGGCAGGTTGCTTCAGGGGGGAACCGTTGAGACTCTGTGAACTACCACGAAAGTTAGCCGCAGCCTCCACTCACCGGCACTTTCAAGGCTCTGCCACTCCCCTGGCGCGGCCAGCCAGCAACGCTCTTGATCAACGTCATGGAGAGCGGAGGCTGCGCACACGGCCCTGCCAGGACATCAACACCTTCCAGCCCAACTCTGTTTTTTGCAAGGGTGTTGCCAACGCCGCAATGGATCGGATCGGCAAAACTTGATGGATCCCGCAATCCGGCCACGCCCCGATCAAGCGCCAGCGCACGCCACAGCCTAATTGTGCAGACAACAACCGGCCGCGTTCAGAATTGAGAACGACGTACATGTTCGTGCCGCAGCATCTGAAGCAAGGCAGGAGGTTCAAAGGCTGACAACGGCCCTTGTCATCAAACAGATTCCCAGTATGACACTCCTTCGGGCAGCGAATATTCCGCCGGCATCACTCCACCTCTGCATGTAGACATCCTCGACATCACGTCCCTCCGGCGATTCGGAATTACAGACAGAAGGAAGCCTGGAAGGATTTGGTTTATCCTCGTGACCTCCACCGTCCGGAGTCAGTCCGCGACGGCCAAACCATCGGGCCAATGGCAACATTGTCGCACCTTGGCCGCTGTAGGTCACCGCCTGTCAAACAGCGATTTCCGTAACTGGCGTACTGCCTTTCACGTCCCACGGAAGTTGAATGCAGTACTGGGGCTCTACGATGTTTTCCCCCTTCGGGAGCGAGAGCTTCGGGCCCTACACATACATGCATACATACATAAACATACACACATGCATAGATACGTACATACGCACCTGCGCACATGCATGCGTACATACATGCATAAAATACCAGCATACATACATTGACAATACTTTTGGTCAATTACAATACCATCACCTTCCAATAATTAAAGCTTCCAATGAAATTTGATTTCGTGGTTCAACTTGGGCGTCCGATCACCTCTCCCTTTAGGTTGTGGTTTAGGTTTAGAGTTTGCCCCTTCTCCCTGCTCTTTGTAAGGCCTGTGACGAACCCTAGTACCGTCTAAGTACTGCGGCAGGCACATGGCGAGCTCCCTGGAATGATGATCCGTGTGAAAATGACCGAAAGACCTGTTCCGAGTGAAACAGGCTTGCAATTGTGCAGAACTATTAACAAAACATGCGCTTTGCATCTAGCAGCATGGCGGCAAACATGTTGGCTCCTGCATGCGCAACCGCATGAAGAAGCTACTTTTACCGCTGCAGCTCACGCGTAGTTCTGATCCATGACAGAGAATACACGAAGCACAGCCGTCCTAACGGGGCAGGCTCCAGCACGGCACCCCGGCACCACGGTCTTGAGCCAGACAGAGCACGGAAATCTGCAGCACGTTCACCAAATTCGAAATTGATGCTAGGAACACCCCACGTTTTAGTTTTGAAGCGCAAAAGCTAGGGCATTTGGCAAGCCATTGAAGCGGCACGGAAGAGCAGGCGGAGGATTTGCGCCTTGAAGTACTCCCCTCGGGTCAGGAAGAGAGAGGACAACCAAAGGTTGAAGCCGGTCTGCATGACCATCTGACCTGCCATTGCGCGAGATGCCCCTGATAACATTGGCAGCAATTCTACTTCTTGCAGGAGTTCCACGACCTGCCTATTGTCATGACGCTGTGCTGCAGGTACTGAGCAAAAAGTTGTGTGACCTGTCGCGGGCAGAAAGCACATCATGGCACACCTTGGCAGTAGCCTAGCCAGCAAGCAAGCAAGCAAGCGACGGGGTGCAGGCTTCTCCTCTGAAACGCGGTTGCTTATCCAAGTAATGGTCCAACGACTGCTCCAAACTCGTTCTCTAGGTTCCGGGCCAAGAATATGGCCTCAGTAACATCCAAGGAGCATTGGGCAAGGAAAGGGAAGGCGCTTGCTCATGTTGCGAGCTCTGTGCGAAGCCCTTGTCCGAATCCCAAGGCGCCAGCAGGAAATGCAAGGAAGTATAACCTCGGAGTACAGAGTCCATGTCCCAAACAAGCCACTCCACCAGAAAACAAATCGAGTCAGGCAACGAGCCGGCGATTCGGAATTGCCGCAGGAAGTTGGCGATTTTGAAGCCACCCTCGGGCATGAGCTCTCTGTGATATGCGAGAACCGACGTCTCCAAAGCATGAAGTCTCCCCAATCGCTGCCATTGTCGCAGTTTCCGCTTCTAACGGCACAGAAGGAACGAGGGGCTGCAGGCTCGTTCAACCACATGAGTATCTGCATCCCTTCATCTACCACACGATACGCCTCGCGAGCAGAAGACTGCACTGCCCAGAGGAACCAGCCATACAGGCCTAACCTGTCATCAGGGAGTGAAAAGCTTTCTAGAACTAAGAAACGGGAAACATCACCGAAGTGCGAAGAGTTGGTGCGACACGGCCTGAGACAAAGAAGTATCCAGCCGATCACTCCCTCATTCTCGTGGTACTTGTAGGATGCATCATCCTCCACGAATGTGTGTGCCAGGAAAACAGGAACCATCCTGAACAACCAGAACAACCGTCCTTGATCTTGCCAAACCCTACCAGCATGATGTGGATCACTCCAATCCTAGGCAAGAAACTAGTGCGGGACTGCGCATGTTGCATCCGCTCATTGATTTTGGACTTGTACCTAGCTTGCAGCCGGGGATCATGAAGCACATGGGAATCCTCGGTGGATGTTACAT